GGGGGGGGGGGGGACATACAACGAACACACATAAATTAGTATACAAAATGTCATACTATATCGGATGAAGGTTTAACATCTAGAATACATAAAGAACTTTTACAACTCAACAACAAAAAAGCAAACAACCTAATTGAGAAATGGGCAAAGAACTTAAACAGACATTTCACCAAAGAAGATACACAAATGGCCAGTAAACACATGAAAAACTGAATGGTAGTAGTCATTATTAGTTGCTGTAGAGTCAATGCCAACTCATAGTGATCCCATGCATTAGGAAAATGCAACTCAAAACCACAATAAGATACTACTTCACATCCACCAGGATGAAAATAAATTCAAAATGGAAAATAACAAGGATTAGTGAGGATGTGGAGAAATGGGAGCCCTCATTCATTGCTGATAGGATTGTAAAATGCTGCAGTTGAAATGGGTGTGGGAGGGAAAGTGGGACAATCACCATAAATTTACATAGGTTTTATAGAGGATATATGTACATGGGTATTAACTTTTTTTTGGATGTACTCTAAAACACTCATGAATGTATAGTCATTTAAACAACCAAAGGGCACGTTCTGCAAGTCTGCCTCCTGGCCGCCAGCATACAGTCTTTCTCTCTCTTTCTTTTTCTCTATAGTCCTCAGCTGCTGCCTCTCCATGTCCTCATCTCTGCCTCCATCTCTGGTGTCGCTGCTTCTCTGGATAGGAATCCACATTCCGCTCATGCTCTTTTCCCTTGATGGTCCTAGGGTACTCTCTTCCTGTATTGTAAGATTAACTCCCCACCCCCCTTTTTTTGTTACAGAACTTCTACCTTTACTGGTGTGACAATCGCAATTAGTCATGATAACAATTATTTACTATTGAATCAAATTAATCCTATCCCCATCTCCTTTCACCATACCCATCTAGACATGATGAAAACTATTCAGTGGGGATTCTACCTTCCCCTACACACTCTGAAACTAAACTACCCCTTGAAAACTTGTAAGCCAGTCACTTTGTGCCTTTACAACCCCTCCCAACACCCCATTTTACATAGCCAATGTCTAAGTTGCCCATCCCTATCAATCCTGTGTACAGAGGGGATGGAAATGATTCTTGATGTAAAGATTCCTTCCCTCTCAGTTTGTATTTTGAACTACTACTTCCATAAGTATAGATCAAGTTCATCAAATTGTAGCAATTTATACTTGTTTCCTTTATCAAAAAAATTTTTTTTAATCTTCCTCTAGTGAAGTTCAGATCATCCAGCCATCAAAGCTAGGTCAAATGGATACTATCTGCAAGTTTGGGCATCAGTATTAACCTTTGCTGCAGATATATCCATGAATGTGGTCATGAAACATAAAGGGAACAAAGTTAAGAAAACTTTTTAGACATAACTAAACACCTTGAGGGAATGAATCATGGGACCTGGGAGCTCAGGACCATGATCTCAGGAGACACCAAGATCAATTGGCATAACAAAGTCCACAAACACAAAAACATCCTACTTTGTCATTGCTCAGTGCAGTCCGTCCAGTGAGTTCTGACTCATAGCAACTCTGTATAGGGTTTTTGAGGAACAGCTGGTAGATTTAAACTGCTGATTGTTTGGTTAGCAGTCCAGTGCTTATCTTACAGTACCACACCAGGGCTTACTACGTCCTACTTTGGTGAGTAGCAACTGGGTCTTAAAAGCTCATGAATGGCCATTTAAGATACAACTATTGGTCTCTGCACATCCAAAAAAAAAAAAGAGTGAGGAAAATCGAAGACACATGGAAACAATTAGTCCAGTGCACTAACTGTGCAGATGGGCAGAACATCTGATCTCCACAACCCTGACAGGAGAAGAAATAGATGGTGCCCACCTACCACTACCAACTGCTTTTATATGAATCATATTAGAAGGTCCTTGATAGAGTGGAAGAAAAACATGGAACAAAACTCAAATTCACAAAGAAAAAACAGTTTTGCTGGTCCAGTCCGATAGAGTCCTGAGACTATGGCCCTTAGCCACTCTTCAGGTCTATAACTAAACTCACCCCCATGGCTCAAATTTCAGACAAACAATAGACAGGTCTATAAGAGGAACAATAATACTAGAGAGCTATGCACACCTTAGACTAATCAACCATTTTAGATTCAAAGGGCAGCATTTACCCAAGGACAAAGTTCAGAATGGTTAAGGAAGGAAGGAGGAATGGAAATAGGAAACACAGTAATAAGGAAACTAGACACGTGATATTACATTGTGAGGATTGTAATTAATGACATGAAACAAAATGTGTGTGAACTTTTTAATGAAAACTAATCTCCTCAGGGTGAGCACTCTCTGGCCCAGAAGGAGAACTGGGGCCATGGCAGCCATTGCACTGTTCTGTTCTGGCTCGAAAGGTGTAGGGCAGATGCTGAGTCAGAAACTCTCTACAGTTACAGACCCTTTAAGATTTGGGTCTGTCCTTCATATTTGACTGGATTTATGGTGGTTGCAGCAGTGTGCTACAGTTTTTAGGACTATATAAGAAAACAATGTAAACTGATATTTCTTGGATTAGACAATGCAGGAAAAATAACATTACTACACATGCTAAAAGATGGCAGACTTGGACAGCATGTCCCAACATTACATCCTACTTTAGAACTGACCACTGCTGGCATGACTTTTACAACTTTTGACCTGGGTGGACATGTTCAAGCACAAAGTATGAAGAAACTATCTTCCTGCTATCAATGGCATTGTGTGGATTGCGCAGACCATGAAAGGCTGTTAGAATCAAAAGAAGAACTTTATTCACTAATGGCAGATGAAACTATTGCTAATGTGGCTATCCTGATTTTTGGGAATAAGATAGATAGACCTGAAGCTATCAGTGAAGAGAGGTTTCAAGAAACGGTTGGTTTATATGATCAGACAACAGGAAAGGGCAATGTATCTCTAAAAGAATTAAATGCCAGGCCCATAGAAGCCTTCATGTGCAATATGCTCAAAAGACAAGGCTATGGAGAAGACTTTCGCTAGATGGCACAGTACACCAATTAACACCAACCCAGATGGGTTCCAGGTCTTATCATTCAGGCCTACCCAGAGATTTGATCATCTAGCATACATATTCATAATTTGAATTTATTAGACTTTTGTTAGTTATAAAGCAGATGTTTTTTGGTTTATTAATATCAGCTTAATTTGGGTGAAAATTGAAAACCGATTCAAATAAGTTTGAATATCACAATGTTATCTTTATAATTTCATGAAAATAATTGGTTTTTACAGTTTATAATCCAACATCCCCAGCATCATTTATAAATGGCAACTTTGTGGTAGTACATTTGAAACATCTTTTTACAACAAAAAACTACAACTGTAAACCTTATTGAAAAGCTCATCATGTTAAATTTTTAATGCAATTTTTTGAAACTAGTTTAAACTTTTTAGATTATATGTCTACCTGTCTTAAGAATCCTTGTGTGGTGCTGTGGGCTAATGTGTCAGACTGCAAAATCGTTTGAACTGTAAGGTTGGTGGTTCAAGCTTACCAGCTGCTCCTTGGAAACCCTATATAGGGTTGCTATGGGTTGGAATCGACTTGATGCACTTAACAACAACAAAATCTCAGGAGTGGAGTCCTGGTGTGGCGCTGTGGGCTAATGCGTCAGACTGCAAAATTGTTTGAACTTCATGGTCGGTGGTTCAAGCTTACCAGCTGCTCCTCGGAAACCCTGTACAGGGTCCTTATGGGTTAGAATCAACTCGACAGCACTTCACAACAACAACATCTTAAGAGTACGGTTAATAATTAGTGTATCAATGATAACGTGATACCTTATAATCTTCAATAATTTTTTTCTTATGCAAACGTCATGCAATAAAACACACTAATGTTTGGGGAAAGAAAAAAAAAAAAACTAATCTGCTAGGTAAATCTTCACCTACTTCACAAGTCAAAGTTTTAAGAAAACGAAGATCATATGACTTAGCAATTCCACTCCTGTTACTAAGTACTGTTGAGTCAGTGCCGAGTTATAGCGACCTTGTATAGGGTATCTGAGGAGCAACTGGTGAGTTTGAACTAATGACTTTGTGGTTAGCAGTCCAGTGCTTATCCTATTGGGGCTGGGGAGGGGGAGCAGTGACCAGCACACATGCAGCTCAGGTTTGTTGGCTCTGTTAAGGAATTTGGACTTTACTGTAGGATCAGGGGGAACAACTGAGAAAAGTCGAGAACAGAGGAATTATTATATTACATGTTTAGTTATTTTAAAGGATTGATCTGTCTGCCTGTATATTATGGATTTTAGGGAAAAGCAGAAGTGGGAGATAGTGGAGAAGCTACTGCAACAATCCAGGCAAGAGATGATGGTAATGGTAACAGCAGAGAAGGTAAGAAGCAGTCGAGTTCTGGGTGTATTTGGAAAGTATTGCCATGGGAGTTTGCTGAAGGATTGGAGATGGAGGTGAGATGGGAATAAAGAATGGCACCAGGTTTTTCATCTGAACCACTGGTACAGTGGTGGTGCCATTTGCAGCACTGGGCCACTGAGAGAGGAGCAGCAGGTCTGGGGAAAACCAGGCATTCCACTTGGAGTTTGATATAACCAGTAGATGTGCAGAGGCAGATGTTGAGTGGGCAGTCACATGCATGAGTCTGGGGTTTGAAAGAGAGACCTGGGTTGAAGATAGGAATTTGGGAGTTGTTAGTATGGAGCTGGTATTTAGAATCATGATACTGGATGAGATCAACTTGAATGTGAGTATAAATAGAAAAAAGGGGACATTCCAATGCTTAGAAATCAGGAAGAAAGGAGGTCATAGCCAAGGAGACTGAGAAGGAGCAGCCAGTGAGGTAGGAGGACAACTAAAGAAAGAGTAGAGTTACAGAAGCCCATGTGAAACAAGTATTTCAAGAAGGGAGTGATCAGCCATGTTAAATGCCACTTAGAGAGTGAGGGCTGGGAACTGCCCACTGAGCTTGACACGGTAGTAAGCCTTGAGACCTTAGCATGAGTTATGGTGAACAGGAGGTTCACGTTCTGGAGTCATGAATAGTGGGTGGACCCCTGAAACTTTTTCCCTGGGGTAATTTTTAAACCTTAAACCAAAAATATCCCCTGAAGTTTTCTTAAAACCAAACAATAGCATAGCTTAACTAGCAAAAATGGTCTGCCTTGAGCATTACATTCTTTTACAAACTATCTATGTGGAATCAAATTGACAACAGCAACTCCAAAGACCAGACAGAAACCTTAGGAGTCAGTGAGTTTACGTTAATGGTGGGATAACAACTTAGAAAAAGAGGGTAAGAATAGTTTCTCTTTATTGTTAAAGTAGGGATGCCAGGACCAGGCTGACCAGCTGATTGTGTCTCTAAGCTGCTGTGTGTAAAGTACTAAGTATAGAATAAGTAGTAAGCAGAGATTACTATTTTATTATTATAGAGGACTGTCTAATTTACCTCTCTTGAAGTCCAGCACAGTGTCAGATCAATGAAGATACTTAATGAATGCTTGTGGAATGAATGAATGGAGTAACTGGAACAGATACAAAGCTATACAATCATGTATCCCATCCTTTCATCATTGGTCTAGAGCATCCTTTGGACTTCTCATTCCTACAGACGCTGAAGAGCCAGGCTGGGTCAAGGCACAGCCCAGAAACCAAGGTCTTCTTCCACCTCTATCCTTTGCTGCTCAGATAAGGCATCCTCCCTCCCCTCCCTAATCCCACCTTCCATCCCCAACATCAAACCACTTCTTCAAAGCCCACTGACAGGCCCATTTCCAGCAGGGGCCTGAGAAGACCTCTTCCAAATGTAGCCTGTTTTCCTTCCCACCCTAAAAGGTTACTTTCCAAATTATCTGCTCTTTCTTCTCCTAAAATAATCACCTACCTCAAATGAGATTCTTTTAGGAAATTGCCCCTTCCAGTTTTGTTGCTTTGTTTCCCCTGAATAAGAAAACTAGACATTCTTCTAGGATTTATACCTCCATCCCCTTCTCTGGACTGGGGTACCTTGAGGCAAGAGTGGCACCTGTTTTGCTTTGGTGACACTCCCACCTCATGTTGGGTATAGCAGGGTTTCTACTAGAATTTCTGTATGAAACGTCTGGTGAGTCCTACCCAGCACTTCCTCCTGAAGGTCTCCTATCTATTCCTCCCACTTTTCCATCGGGCTGCAAACCTTAAGGTCAGCAGTTCAAAACTACCAGCTGTTCCGCGGGAGAAAGATGAAGCTTCCTGCTCCCGTAAAGATTTACAGCCTCGGAAACCCTGTGCAGGGTCGCTATGAGTTGGAACCGACTCCATGGCACATCACCACCACTACCAGGTATCTGAGGTGGCCCGCCATCTGGTGGCAGAGTAAAGTCATCTTCCCCCAACACCTCCTCCCTTAATTGCTCACTCCAAAGCAGGTTAACTCCTGCTGGAGTGTGAAGGTGGGGGAAGCTAATGAATAGGCTTGGATGGAACCCCAGCATTTAGTTTTTGTAAGCTCTTCAGCCTATTTTAATGTGCAGGCAGAGTTGAGAATCACTGATGTTGACCAGCAACATTAGGTACCCCTACTCAGGAGCTTGTTAGAAGAGTTCTCAGACCCTATGCCAGCCCTACTGAATCAGAACCTCTGAGCGTGGAACCCAGCAATCTGCATTTTAACAAGCCCTCTTGGTGACTGTGATGCACACTAACAATGGAGAACCACCACTGATCCAGACGAACTTTAAGGTCCTTTCTAGCTCTAAGAGTCCCAGAACCTCTGGGAAACAAAGGTCCGATAGTCTCCCACCATTTCATCTCACGGGCCAATCTTCCTTCGAGGCAAACCAGTCAAACTTGAGATCACAGAATGGTCTTATTTTTTACAGCATCATATACTATAAAAAGCTAACCAAAACTACTTTTCCAGTTAAGTGTTCAGTTTGGCAAGTAGTGGCCTTGGATCTTACTATTTGGTTTATGAAGCCTTCACTTGTGGTACCTTGATAGCACCTTGATTTTCATCCTATCACCAAGAGTTAGACTAGTTAGTGTAAGGAGGGGAAAGACCTCCTCTTGAGGAGAACTGGCCTTGCTCACTGAAAGAAACTAATGGTGGCAAAATGGTAAGCTTGAGAAGGAGCCTGGGTCCCCAGGAAAGGAAGTAATCACCTCCTGGGTTTCTATGGCTACAATCTCTCCTCCTGGCTTTCTTTTCCACTCTCTGCAAGGAGCCGGGAGAGACAATAGGTTAAAAGGTTCAAGGATTCCAATCACAGGGCTTCTATATCATTTAATGGCAAGGCACCAATGTGTCAGCCATAGTGGGATAGTATAACCAAACTTGTGTCCGAGTAATCCATGTGCACACACAATGTGGAAAGGGTATACTCAGGGGTTGAGCCTGAGTATGTTCAGAAGGCACATGCTAATTACATGAACTAGTGATCCAGACTTCATGGCACCTATGTCCTTTACACTAATACCTTTCCCTCAATTCACATCTATGGACTCATGGGAGACTTGCTAAGTATTCCTAAGAAGAAAAACGCAGGTCCAATTTTGAATACTCCTTGAATACTTGATCATATTATGGAATTATTATTATTTTGTATTTGTAATGGAGTCCTTGTGTGGCACTGTAGGGTAAGCACTGGACCATAGATTGGTTTGAACTACAAGGTTGGTGGTTCAAACTCACCAGCTGCTCCGACTCATACAGGGTCACTGTGAGTCAGAACCGGCTTGGAATTTAACAACAACAAACAACAGCGTAGGTGTAATGATCACATAGTTATTTTCTTTCATTATTTCTTTTTTAAGTTTTTATTGTGAATTGAGTGAAAGTTTACAGGGCAGATCATCAGTTTTACATTCAACAAATCATACACCTTGTTTCATTACAATGATTATAATCCCCTCCATGTACCATCAGGTAACAGTATTTCTCTTTATTCACTTTAGCTCTTTTTTTTTTAACAACACTCAGGCATATATAATAATTTATACCACCAAAGGGCACATTCTGCAAGTCTACCTCCTAGCTGCCAGCTCTTAGTTCCTCTCTTCCCATAAATCTAGAGTCCTCAGCTGCTCCCTCTCTCCATGTCCCCATGTCTGTCTCTATCTCTGGTATCACTGGATAAGGTCTCACATTCCGTTTGTGCTCCTCTTGATGGTCCTAGGGTCCTTTGTTTCTGGACTGCAAGATTAATTAGTTCCCTGTTTTGATACAAAAACTTTTACAATTATGACAGTCACAATTAGTCATGATAACAATTACTCACTATTGAATCATATGAATCTTATCCCCATCTCTTTTCACCAGACCCATCTAGACAAGATGAAAACTATTCGGTGGTGACTCTTTCTTCCCCCACACACTCTTAAACTAAACTCCCTCTTGAAACCTTGTAAGTTAGTCACTTCATGCCTTTATCGCCCCCTCATTTTAGGTAGCTAATATCTGAGTTGCCCGTCTCTATCTGCCCTGTGTACAGAGGTGATAGCATTGATACTTGATGTGAAGACTCCCTCACTCTCTGTCTGTATTTAGAGTTACTACCTCCATTAGTGGAGTCCTGGTGTGGCACTGTGGGCTAATAAGTCAGACTGCAAAGTCATTTGAACTGCAAGGTTGGTGGTTCAAGCTCACCAGCTGCTCCTTGGAAACCCTATACAGGGTTGCTATGAGTCGAAATCGACTCAACAGCACTTAACAACAACAACAACAATACTTCCATGAGTATAGATCAAGTTCATCAAACTGTAGCAATTTACCCTTGTTTCCTTTATCAAAAATTGTTTGTTTTTTTTTTTTCCTTCCTCTGGTGGAGTTCTGATTATCAAGCCATCGAGGCTAGGTCAAATGGGTACTATCTGCAACTTTGGGTGTTCTTTTGTATCTCCCCTCACTTCGTATCAGCTGGATGCTTCACTCTCATCTCTACCCCTCTGTGGCTATGTCGTCATCCATAGACTCAGGTGTCCCAGGTTTCACCACACTTTGGATCAACCAGCCTTTCTTCTCTCTCTCATCTCCAGGTCAATGGGAGTCTATGAACCATGGTTGAACTCAGCCCATTTCTTCATTGCTGGCTTTCCCCCTCTTCCACTCACCAGTACACCAGTATGGTTGTCAGCAAGCTTACATGCCTGCTTATGTGTTCCCTTTGAGTGTCAGTCTTAGAGGGAGGTTTGTTCTGAAGGAACTTGATCGTTTGTCTTGATGGCTTTGTTATTTTCTTTTTCAAAGCAGTTTTAAGTTTACATAAAAATTGTGCAGGAAGTACTTGTCATCAAGTCAACTCCGATTCATAGTGATCTATGAATAACACGATGAAAGATTGCTTGGGCCTGCATCATTTTCAGGATAATTGGTATGCATAAGTCCTTTGTTGTAATTATTGTATCAGTACTCCTCTTTGAGGGTTTTCCTTGTTTTAATTGGCCCTCTACTTTACCAAACATAATGTCCTTTTCCAGAGATTGGCCAAATTAAGTGAGTTGAAGGCTTGCCATTCTTGTTTCTAAGGAATATTCTGGTTGTTTTTCTTCAAAAGTTAACTTGTTTATTATTTTGGCCAATTTGATATTCTTCACAATCACCACTGCTCAAATGGATCCATTCCTCTTCTGTCTTCATCACCATTCAACTTTGCCTATGGTTTACTATGTTGAGAACAACAAACTGAAGAGAAATGGCATCACATTCAGTCAGAACCAACTCGACAGCACTGACAACAACAACAAAGCAAAAAGGAATCATGTAAATACAGAACTTCCAAATGGCAAGGAAATCAAGTAGATGTCAAGATAAAACAGACTGTTTTGAGTAGGGGAAAAAATTAATAAATTACAGAGTAACTTCAAAGAAAAATAGCATACCTGTACATCAAAATGTAAAAAAATTAGGAAAATCAGAAAGATTTAGTAAATATTAACACAGCAAAAATGAAAACAACAAGAAAACCTACAAACAAAATGAACTCATCATAGAAAATTATGTGGAACAAAGAATCCAGCAGCACCACAAAAAACACACACAAGAAAACAACAACATTCAATTCAGACCTATTGATAATTACACTGAACATTAATAGATTAAATGTATCAGTCAAGAGACATAGAGAACAGATGGATAAGAAAACAGAATCCTTCAATGTGCTGTCTACAAGAGACATATTAAAAAGATGGAGACAGGCTAAATGCCCATCAACAGAAGAATGGTTAAACAAACTCTGGTACATACACATAATGGAATACTACAAAACATTGAAGAATAATGAGAATCTGTGAAGCACCTCACAACATGGTTGAACCTGGAGACACTGTGCTGAGTGAAATGAGTCAATCACAAAAGGACAAACATTGTATGAGACCAATGTTGAAAAAAAATTAAAAAAAAAAAAAAGTTTTCTTGATAAAACAAACAATTTATGATGGCTATGAAACACCAGATGGAACACATAGAAATCAAATAGACTACATCTGTGGAAAGAGAAGATGGAAAAGCTCCATATCATCAGTGAAGACAAGACC